CGTTACGTTTCACGCACACTTGGAAAGCCGACGCAAGGAGACCCGTGACCACAGACGACTATTTGAGAGCAACGATCAGTGTTGCCAGACCTACTGTTTTATAGTAGATCCACTGTTTTTTTTTTCTGTTCTCCTGTTTTAGGCATCAAATATACTGTTTTCGCCAACAGCAAATATTGTTCTTAATTTATTAAGTTTGCCTCATTCTTCAGCAAATGGTTAAAGAATATTTTCTCAAGTAAATTTTCTGAAGTAAAAGCAGCGTAATAAGCAGACACTATTGCTTTTTATTTAAAATGCAACAAAGAATTAATAAAGCATATTGCCAAACACAACGTATTTGAATTATCGATTCAGACTGATCTGAAAGAAATACCTATTAATTTCCATTGGTTTTTTGTTTACGGACGTTGAGAAGTATATATTAAAAATTTTATTATTCGTTTTTATTCCTTGTTTACTTTCTAATTTTGGTAGAAAAATGTTTATTTTTCGTTTCTTATATACTTGTTTTTTTATTTACTACACTGCAAATTATAATTATTTCCCCCTGTATTAAAATCTACTGTTTTTTTTTTCACTCACCTACTCTTCCAGCAAATTATTCATCTGGCAACACTGCCCAGGATAGATCAAAAGAACTTAGCAACTACTATTTCTATAAAATATCAACTAATCACCTCAAAATACAAATTCTGAATAAGTTCGCGACAGGCAGCAAACGCCACCTCGAGACTGATCTTTCTGTCGTCGACTTTTGTCTCTCGCACTGGTCGCGCCTTGCGAAATGTTTTTAATATTATTATATGTGTTAAGACGTGAAGAGACCGTTTTTAGTCTCCTTTGCCGTCACAATAGTGCATGACTAATTTTCAAACTGTTGCAAGTGAAATATGGAGATATTTACGAGGATGGGATGAAAAGTTTCCGGCCTAACATTGAACGCAACACAATAGTGACTGAATAAGAATTTATTTTTCTACATAGTCCCCTTGTAGGGTAATACATTTGACCTAACGATGTTCAAGCGATTTAATACCGTCACTGTAGTCTGATTTATCCAACTCGTCAAAATAGGCGTTTGTGGCTGCAATTACTTCTAAATCCGTAGAAAATTTTTTGCCAGCAAGAATTTTTTTTAGGTTTGGAAACAAATAAAAGTCTGACGGAGCTAGGTCTGGCGAATACGGAGGATGGTTTAACAGTTCAAAGCCTAGCTGATGAATTTTAGACATTACAAGAACGGACTTGTGGCAAGGTGCATTGTCCTGATGAAACAGAATTTGCTTGTTTGCCAAACCAGGGCGTTTTTCGCTTATATTCTGCTTAAGCTGGTCCAGTAAATCGCTGTAGTACTCGGAATTTATTGTTCTTCCCTTTTCGAGATAATCTATTAGGAGTATCCCTTTAGCATCCCAAAAGACCGTTGCCATGACCTTTTCAGCAGACGGTACTGCCTTTGCCTTCTTTGGAACTGGTTCGTCCTTTGCCGTCCATTGTTTGGACTGTTGTTTAGTATCAGGGGTATAATGATAAACCCATGTTTCATCAACCGTAATAAATCTACGCAAAAAGTCCCCTGGATCACGTCTAAACAGTGCCAAATTTTTCTCTGAAATGGTTAGCCGCGTGAGCTTCTGATCTGATGTGAGCAAACGCGGCATCCATCGGGCGGATAGCTTTCTCATACCTAAAACTTCACACAAAATATAGTGAACTCGCTCTTTTGATGTGTCCACAGCCTCAGCTACCTCTTCCAATTTTAATCTGCGATCTTTTAGAATTAGTTTGTGAACGGTTTGCACCATTTCTTCAGAAGTTGCCGTTTTTGGCCTGCCAGAACGCGGAGCATCATCAGTGCTAGTTTTTTCCTCTTTTAAAAGTGGCGCAATTTATAAGCTTTTAAAATACCCAGGACACAAACTACTTTAGTAAGGCTACACAGACACGTTGGAACAGGAAAGCAAATCGGGCCTACTGTAGGTTAGGCCGAAAACTTTTCATCCCATCCTCGTATATATTAATGTTATGTGGTGCATTAAATTCATAATTAAATTAGCATTTAAAGTGTCACACTTTAGAATACGTTACAGTTTTTTATCTCGATAGAAGGCGCTAAAATTAAAAGTATCCCAATAAACAGTTATTTATCTGAATTTCCCATAAAACTACCGTTTCAATGATGTAACTACTATACATGGTATACATGGTATACATATTCCCTATTTAAAATTAAGGGATTGGAGAAGTGGAAGGGAGGGAGTTAGCACATGACAGATGTCTGTATTGTAAAAATGTAATTTGGAATGAAAATCGACCTGTTTTAGCATTTCCTTAAAACAAAATCTTCTTAAAAATTAATTTTTTACAAGATGCTCTACATAAAAAAGATCCACCCATCGAAAAAAAATTATTGAGCGCAGCGCCATCTACATATTGTCCTATTTAAAATCAATTTATATCTGAAACTGAAGCTCTCTTAGTTCTCTGTAAACTGGGTTTTACAAATTTAAAATATTTTTATTTCTTACTAAAATATCAGGCCTGGGAGTTTTTATTGGAACATGCTGTATAGGTAAATTTTGTTATTCTGATAAATAAATTAAACGCCATCAAAATATACTTTTTTTTTAATAATGGCACTGAATAAAACCAAAAGGCCAGACTATTGTACTAACCAATAATAATTCAAATAAATTGAAACCGGTTTCAATTTATTTGAATTATTATTATTATTATTATTGGTTAATTTACAGTTAAATTTTATTTTCGTATTTTCGTATAAAATATAGCTATACACTCTTAGCCAAAAATATTGCCAAATGAATTCTTGTTAAACAACGTACAAAAGACCTCCAATCAAGCAGTGAAATGGAAAAATTATTTTCTACAAACCGAAAATAATTAAATATACGAACAACGAGAGAGAAACAAAATATCCACACCGTGTAAACAGTAAAATTTGTTTCGATTAATTCACAAAAAAAAAAAGAGAAAAAATGAAAACGTGTGTCATTTCTCGTCTTTGGAAACACACAATTATTATACCTAATTATAAATTATAAAATTTAGCCGTTAAAAATTCGAATGAAATATTCCCTATTTATTAAACAGCTTCAAAAAATCATTTATAATATAACTTTCCAGAACAATCTGAAAGAACACAAATCCGGCTCGAATGACCAAAAATTTACGTTCCCGCGAGTAGGAACAGTTGATAGCATAACCAGTAGGTAGAGAAAAATACACTGCATGTCTTTCAAAATTGTTCTATTAAAAATGAATAAAAAAGAATAAAACGGTTAAGAAAAAAAAACGATTGAGACCAAATCGCTTACCCAAACTACATCTAGGGATGACGTGAGAGCTCTCCTTAATTCCGGTATCCAAGGGATGATCCAGACTTTTTTCCTACCACAGGTTTTTGTTCTAATTTTACAGATAAGAACGTTTTGCAGCAAAAATTTAAAGTTTACCGGTTTTCGAAACGGTTTATTTCGTACTGACCTTTTCAAAGGAATTTTCATGGTACGAATCTACAATCGTGACTCGGTCTCAAAATACGCGTAAATATATTTTAATCAAAGACATTACAAAATGTCTTTGATTTGAATCTACTAATAGGCAACTCAAATTATACGTGATCTAATGAATTGTTTAATAAATTACCCCTCGAAATGACAAATAAAAATTTGAAATGATTAGGATTCAACAAATCCATAATTCTTTAATTGTTTTATCCACTATTGTTACATGATTACATTATTATTATTATTATTATTATTATTATTATTATTATTATATTTTAACTTATAGCTATTAAAATACCTGAGTTTGTAATTAATTATATAATTATCCATTTTTTTTTAAATATATGTATTTTTGTTTATTTTGCTTTTATTTTTTTTTATTTTTTTTGTATTATTTTTTGTTTTTAATTCTTATATGATTAAGATCAGCAATGTTATCACAAATTAAACATAAATTATTATCTGATAGACCAAATTTTTCCTTGTAGGCATGATTGTTTCTCATATGACAAATAACTCGTTTTTGTACCAGGAACACTTTCGAGTATTCGGTTGAATGTTTTTGTATTTCTTTTGAATATGCACCTTGCCAAGTTTTAAACATTAATAATTTAGATTTAGCAATAAAATCTGATTTTGTTTGTAGTTTTAATATTTTTATTAGTTCCCGAAACAGTAGCCTTTTTTGCTATGAAATCCACTTTTTCATTGTTAGTAATACCTACATAAGATTTTATCCACGCCAACGAAATTTCTTTATTTTGTTCCAAATATTGGTAGTTAAGCTTAAGAATTTCTGACGCTATATAGTTGGTAGGACTTGTAACGTTCCATTTTGCAAAGTATTCTACTGCACTCTTACTATCAGTAAATATAACATACTTAGATTTATTTTCTTGAAGACATGCGTTAAAAGCTTCTTTTATAGCTGCAAGTTCAGCATTACATATTTACATTGTACTGGGAAGTTTAAAATGTAATTTCATAATTTTTGTTAGGATACAAAATTACACATCCTAATTGGTTTCCAATTTTAGATCCGTTCGTATGTTTTCAAATGTATTCCATTTTACTTTAAAATTAACGTTTTTACAGAAAACATTGATCATGAACTAGTATTTATTTAGTTATTTTTATTTGTGTAATATTTTCATCGATCACATTAGAACATAACTATTTCTTTGGCTATTGCATTCCATGTTTCTCAATTTCAAATCGTGTTGAAAACAACTCTCTCAACAGACTGAATGCAAAGTAAATTAAAAAAATATTTTTTTTTTATCAAGGCAATTAAATTAAAAATGAAGAAACCCATATTAAAATACCTTTCCTATCTGTATAATAAAAATATCTTTAAATTTTATAATTTTACGAGGAAAAAAAATTAATTGGGTGATAAAAAAAATTCTAATCAAGTTAAATAAAGCATTTATGAATAAATTTAACTAACGATGTATTATATTGTTTCAGTATTTGGAAGACCTAAAGTCCAAACGTGCTAGAATTATTATTGCCGATGTAGCTGATCACGACGCAAGGATGGTAATCTGCGAAGCTAAACGGCTAGACATGACTGCAAAACAAGGTTATGTTTGGTTCCTGCCTGTATGGCTAAGCCCCGATTGGTACAACACTACCAAATACAAAGACCCAGAACCTATCGATTGTCTTGTTGAAGAAATGATGGAGGTACGTTTTATTTATAAGGTTCTTTTCTTCGGATAAGTGAAAAATGAAAATGAACTTTCTAAAATTTTTAATAAGTGAAGCTAGAAAAGCATACAAGAATAGTTTAGTTACAGCTGGTGATAAGAAATTCTATACTTATAATAACAATTATTTTTTTCTACGATCACTATCCAAAGTAGGCCTTTGCGCTTCGAAATTCAACCGCCAACTTCACGTTTTCCGCAAACTGACATTAAGTGACAGCTTGGTTGATCGCCGAGCGGAAAACTTGACAGCTTTGTCGCTTGCCTAATTTAAATTAGATATAATATAATATTTCTTTTTTATAAATGATTTTGTACCTAGTTTGATGTTTTTTCTTTAATTATCCAAGGTAACATTAACTTTGAATATCAACTCCTTTTTTCATGAATAACATAGATACAGGCAACATATTATACACTACTTATGACAAATTTTCAGTTTTTGTATCCACGAGGGTCATTCAATAAGTAAAAAGACAAATTCTTTCATTTTAAAACTATTCAATGAATATGTACAATCTTTTCAGGAGTGTTAATTGGCAATCTTGGGATATGCTCTGATCAGCTGTTTCATCATTTTATGTCAACATAACCTCAAAATTTTCAATTCACCATGGCAAGTCCACTACAAGATTGCACCTTAGAAGAGCAGCGCTCAGTCATTAGATTTTTAGTCGCAGAAGGTGTAAAACCAAGTGAATTTTTTTCTAGAATGTTGATACAGTATGGTAAAAGTGGTATAAACCGTGCGAATTTTTACAAGTGGGTTGATCGGTTTAAAAGTGGCCGAACAAGTGTAGGTAATGAACCCCGATGTGGACATCCAGTGGAAGTTTCTGGTCCCTCGTTGGAATCAAGGATTGACGGACTTATTCGTGATAACAGAAGAATTAGTAAGTGTTGGAACTGTTCACAATGTCATTCAGAACAATTTTAAGTACAGAAAAATGTGTGCCAGATGGGTTCCCAGACAGCTTACTGACGCTCATAAAGAATCAAGGCTTTCCATTAGTCAAGACTTAAAGCAACGAAGTTTGATTGAAGGAGACGCTTTTTTTGAAAGAATAGTGACCAGCGACGAGGTCTGGATCCATCACTACGACGACCCTGAGACCAAAAGGCAGAGTATGGAGTGGAAACACACTAGCTCTCCAGTTCGCAAAAAATTCAAGGTTCAACCTTCCGCCGGTAAAGTGATGCTGACCATCTTTTGGGACTCACAGTCTATTGCGATTTCCTTGAAGACCAGCGAACTATCAGCAGCCAATACTACTAGAACACAACGTTAGACCAGCTATCAGGAGCAAACGCCGTGGACTCTTGTCAAAAGGAGTAATTCTTCAGCACGATAACGTCCGCCCTCATACAGCCCAGCTGACTTGTGATAAGCTTCAAGAAAAGGGTTGGGAGGTCTTACCTCATCCTGTCTACAGTCCTGACCTCGCCCCATCTGATTTTTAGCTGTTTGGACCACTCAAAGATGCCCTACGTGGAAAAAGATTTGCTAACAATGAGGAAGTTAAGGAAGCGGTGCAAAAGTGGCTTCGCGGTAAATCGAAAGAATTCTTCGCCAAGGGAATTACGAAGCTGCAAGAAAGATGGGACGAGTGCATAACTGTGGGGGGTGATTATGTTGAAAAATAGCCTTAATTTTGAAAGATTGAAATAAACCGGTTTTGAGCTATAGCCATTTGTCTCTTCAGTTATTGAATGACCTTCGTATTTCTTAAAAAAGTGTGATCGTAGAAAAAATCTTGTGTGAATTTTGAGCAAAAAGTTCGTTGCCGCTTTCGACAACGTTCTGTCTCGAGCGGCACAGTATCCCTTTTCGCTCTTAATACACAAATAGCTATTGTTATTATTTTCAAATGCCACAACTTATAGGATGTAGCTTCTCCAAGACTAATCACTAATCATGTCCTAAAGATTTGCTAATCAGTTTATGAGTGTCTACTCATAGTGTCTATAGTCAAAATTTTGATTACAACCTTTCAAACTTACCAACTCCTAGGGTAACTTCAGATTTTCAAACTTTGCGAATTTTCATCTGAAAAAGTTAGTGAAGCCAATCTACTGTTCGCAAACTTGATTCAAGTCCTGAAAGCTATGAAATACCTGCTATTTTCTTACGAAAATTTACCAAAATACTGAAAATACCTTCAACTATTGTAATGAATCATTCAATGGCCACTGGAGCAGGATATAGATTCCAAATCAGGGCGAAATGCGAAATCGAATCGCTTTCGATACTCGCAACCAAATACGATATCGACAAATTTACTATTCCTATTCGCTATCGAGTTGCCCTGCGTTTTGGTCGATTCCGAAACCCGTAGTATTCGTAGCAAGCATGCGCAGTACGTGTTTTAATTGATAGTTGACATATGTAAACAAATCGATGATATTTGGTATTTATTTTTGTTGGTGTTTTTGTTAGAAAGTGAATTATAATAAATAGCCACGCAAGTATGCTACCAATTTTTAATAACCGAATACAACGAATAGGACACAGGGAGCAAAACGGAGCCTTCGTTTTATAAAGGCGTCGACTCAGGGACCACAGCATTCCATTTGAGCTTCAGGAGGAGCGCTTTATTGAATTGTACAGATTGAACAGAGAAGCCGCCAGGTATCTAATTGATACTATACAGCCCCACCTTGTAGAAGGAGTCTGCAACAATTATTTGCCAAATTTTACAAAGATTTTTGCTGCATTACGTTTTTATGCAACTGGGTCATACCAACGAGATATTGGATTTTCGTATAACATAAGTTTAAGCCAAACTTCGATCCACAGGTCAGCAGTGAGATTCCAAATCAGTGCGAAATGCGAAATCAAATGGCTTTCGATACTCGCAACCAAATACGATATCGAGAAATTTGCTATTCCTATTCGCTATCGAATTGCCCTGCGTTTTGGTCGATTCCGAAACTCGTAGTATTCGTAGCAAGCATGCGCATTACGTGTTTTAATTGTCAACAATGACATCCAAACTGACGGCATATAATAGGAAATTTTAATTTGTCTTTTTAAAGGAATGGTTATGCACACAATTTAATTTAACGCAAGAGCAGCGAATAAGAGTCTGTATTTCTGATCAGGTGATCACAGTTAGCCAATAGCGGGGCATAATTCTTAAATCACTTTAAATTAAATTCGTGCATAAACCCATCATAATTACCTATAATAATAGTTTGGTGCTGGTTTGTTTCAATGTAAGAGTTAACTAGGTACTAACATTATTATTTTTTAAGGCATACCTTTTACTTATATTCCCAAAATTCTCAAGAACTTCTTATACCAATGACACAGAATAATCAACAATGACAATGCTTTAAACTGTTCAAACTTCAACTAGAAATCACAACCGCTACAAGGCTACAACCTCTACAACCACGTGCTATAACCTCAATAATCTACCGAAATCGAGCAATTCGGCACCATAGAGCTGGCGAGTGACTCTTAATCGTTTTAGTCGATGCGAATATGATTTCCCGCAAATCGGAATTCACCAAACCGTCGAAATCGAGTATTTCGATATCGAATTGTCAATGGGAATCTGCCTACAGTATCTTTTTTATAAAGGCTTGTCAAAAATTAATTAAATAGGTGTCCAGCAACAACCATACCACGTATGTTTCCCACCTATTTATAGTAGACGTATTTTAATTTTAGATGCATAATGCAAGTGATAGCAGCTATCCAACAAGTAATTGCACCTCACGAAATTGTATTTCCTCAAAATATCAGGAAACAAAACATAAGGAAAGAAGCTTTTATGGAACAGTTTGGTTTCCCTGGAGTAATAGGATGTGTTGACGGAACGCATGTGGTCATTTTAAATGTTATGATAATCTGTGATGCAGACCTTAGAATATTAAGTGTTAATGCCAATTACCGAAGCTCGTAATCACGACAGCTACATTTGGCGCCAAACACTGTAAGAAATTTCCTTTCTCAAAAGTTTTTGGGAAACCGGCTAAGAGGTTCATGGCTGTTAGGTGATTCGGGGTACATGTTAGAACCAGTACTAATGACACCTTTTTTAAACCCACAAGAGAACTCGCCTGAAGCTAGGTACAACTTTCATCATATAAGAGCCAGAAATGCAATTGAACGATGTATAGGAGTTTTAAAGTGTAGATTTAGAGTACTTTTACGGGAGAGAACTGCAAGATACGCCCCAGAAATTGTCGGCTCATTTGTTAATACTTGTGGTGCATTACATAACCTGTGCATTAGATTTAGGGTGCCTTTATTAGACAACCTAATGGTTGAGAATGAACTTTTTGTGCCAAATCCTGTACCAGATATTCAAAGACAAGCGACTAATATTAGGAACGGTATTGTTAATACATATTTTCTTTTTTTTATTGCTTATTTATTATTTCCCGCCAAAAATTTAGCAATGTTTTGTTTCTAATTACCCCCACTGTTTCTATTCACCCCATTTTACGGTACCTTAAAACATAAGAATTTGCTTAATATAACTTTTAATCAACAATAAACCCAAGATACTTTCTTGCGACACGCCATAATCACTGATTCTTTTATTCGATTTTGAATTTCCTTCGTGGGTCAAGTGATAGCGATCGCTTAAATAATCTCTAATTAAATCTAAAGCTGTTGATCGCTTCGGAAGCTCGTTTCAAATTTAGGAAAACAATTAAAACTACATTGCAGTTGTTAATTTTGTCTCTTCATCTTTCACGAACAAAATCAATCTGTGTCCAGATTATTTCAAATAATTTCGATGATTTTATCAGTGACAGGTAATATTTATATTGGTCGATACTTTTCTGGATATGTAGGGATGAAGTTTCTACTTGGAACTATAACCTGGCCGTTGCGAAAGATATTCAAAATACGGATTACAGGCGCAGCAGTCATGGCCCGGTCACAATCTGAATTAGCGGCTAACCTACCAGAGTTCGGTTGACCGAATGAAGTAGGAAATTCAAATCGTGGTACAATAAGCTAGTAAGGCCGCAGTACCGTCATGCGAACCTCAGAGGAGGAAAAGGCAGGCTTCAACACAAGCCTGATTGCGAAGCCTGCCAGAATCCTTAGAGGGTGAACCCGAAAGGGCAAAAAAAAGTAACGCGAATTTGGCGTTCATCCCTTTTAAATTAAATTTAAAAGCTCGTATCGAATCCATCCCAAAATAAATGCCAGGGCCGTTCACGTCAACATGATATTTGTTAATGTATAATATGAATGATCCCTTCATAAATACGGTTTATCGGTATTCTGCTCAGACACAATTAGGGCTTTTAAATAATATTTATTATATTGCAGGCGGCTAATGGTTACTTCTCACTCACCCATGCTTACTACGCATCCAACGAATCAAAAATGCAAGAAGGCATCACTGTAGCAGAATGGAAGAACAAATTACGAAAATATTCTGGAACAACTCCTATTAGCGATTATGCAGGATTCGCGTATGACGCTGTGTGGACTTACGCCTTGGCTTTGAGTCAACTTCTTCAAAACGATTCTGCAGATATGGCGAATCTTCATTCACAGAGCACAACACAGTAAGTACTTATTTATATGCTAATATTAACTACTGATTTAACAGTGAGTCTTCATCATTTTTATCATTATTAAATACAGAACACTTTAACAGAAGAAACAGGTTAGATAACACCCCAAAAAAATGGAGTAAAAAATATTGAAAAAACCCAGAACACGTTTCGAATCGGCAAATTTAAATAAAAAAAGTAGTTAGTGCAACAAGAGTGGATATGATGGCCATATGATACGAAAACTATACTCGAGTTGTACAATATGGCCCACTAACAAACATTTACAAATTTTAAAAATTATTTCAGGTTATTAAGATCTGTATCTACAACTGTAACATATTTAATGTAGTTGACAACGTCGCCAAAAGGTGCTTCTCTTATATCGGCCGGTGTTAGCCAATTTTCGCCAAACACAAATCTTCTAATAAATGAGAGCATCGGGCAATCGTAGAGGGTATGCTCGATGGTCTCATTTTCTTGTTCGCATCCCCTGCAGAGTGCGGATTCCACCAACCCCATGATATGAAGATGCTTCCGTAGTTGGCAATATCCAGTCAGAATGCCTGATCAGGCGCAGATTATGTCTAGTCATAGTCAAGTATTTGTTTGCTATAGTGTTGTCAGGATAACTTAAAAGCCCTCTGGCAGCTCTGCAGTTTCTTGTTTCATCCGATCTTTCCTTGAATTTCACAAGGGAATGTCTTAATTAGGATGTTGCCAGTCCAATAGAGGGGCCAGGTCCAAAAAGTATTTGGTTGGCTGCCTTCTTGGCAAGTGAATCAGCAAGACGATTACCTTTCGATGTGGCGTGATCTTTATTCCATCTTAAGTTGATCACATTGTTGATAGATATTTCGTGACATTCTAGTACTAACCCTGAATAAATTCGTGGTCTATCCAGGGTGAGTAGCGCTTGTCTGCTATCTGTATAGATGAGCATATTTCTTCCAGTGATATTATTTCTGATAATTTCTTTTGCTGTTATGATAATCCCTGTAAGCTTGGTTTGAACTACACTGACACTACTGCTCACAGCCCATTTTATGTTTAAGGATCTGGAGTATATTCCACATCCTGAGCCTTGTTTTGTTTTAAAACCATCGGTGTAGATATGAATCGTATCTGCCACTTCCGGCTCTTCTATTTGTTCTATTATAACTTTATATGGCTTTGTGAAGATATATATCGGTGAGATAAAGTCCATGTTCGCTTGAAGCAGGTTCCATTCCAACCGTGCGGAGGCGAGTCATTGTTATCAGAGCAACATCCTTTCTTTTTCATATTAAGGGGAGTGAGACTAAGAATGACTTCCATGGCTCTGGTCGGTGTGGTTTTCATTGCTCCTGTTGAAGCATGCTGTTCTTTGAATTTGTTCTGGTTTTTAGGTTTTCGGTACCCAGACAACTGTACCGTATGTTAGCATAGGTCTTATGATGGCCGTGTAAGTCCATGCGACGAGTCTGGGGGAGAATCCCCAGGTGCGCCTCACGGTTCGGCGGCATTGTTCATAAGCAATGTATGCTCTTTTTACTATGTGAGTTCCATGTTAACTTGCTGTCAAAGGTGGGACCTAGGTACTTCACCTCTGTTGCAAAGTTCAGCTTTGTGTTTAGGAGTTTTGGATGTTTTAATTACATTTTCATCCTTTTCCTTCTGAAAAGGACCATTTCTGTTTTCTTGGGAATGGTCCTTGCACCTGTTTTATAATTTTGAGAGCTACTAGCATTCTTTCGCAAAGTATGTTCTCAAAATTCCCTGTTTGCAGAATGACCATGTCATCTGCATCTATTGCATCTGTGGAACATTCCTATTGTTTAGTGAGTGTATTATCTTGGGAAAGGTCGTCTTATCAAAAGCACCTTCTGTGTCTATGAAAACACCCAAGGCGGACTCAGGTTATTAAGATAAAATAACTAATTTATAAAATAAAATAAACATGAAAAAAATAGCTATTTGTATTACTAGGGAAGAAAGTGCCACTTTTGCTCCCGCAGGATGAAGTTTACTGCCCGACGCGAAGCGGAGGGCAGTAAACATCTAAGGGAGGAAAAGGCACTTTACTCCCAAGTAATACATATGATTTTTCCGCCTCCCCCAAATAACAAGTCATTTTTAAATAATTTATTTATGAAACTAATAAACAAAATTTATTAAAGAACTAAAATTATGAAGTAGGTATAGTATAAATTATAGGCATGTTATTTTCATTATTGCATCCTACATATTTTTAATTTGTGGTAGAGTAATTATTTTTCTAAGTATGAATATGCTTTTCTTCGGCCCATTGCTTGAAATTTAAATACTGTTTTTCGTATTTTTCTTTAGATTTTTGGGGTAATAGAGATTGAACTGTTGCATTAACCTGTTATAAAATATCCGGTGGTGTATTATTTATATCTTTAAATTCGCTTGAATCACTCATTTTTTAAATATTATTTTATATTTTGTAGATATATTATAGCGTAACACACTTTAAAACTGATCTGTCAATCGACCATAGCATGCTATATTTCTGTCCTAAATTCTAAAATCGGATGAATCTATGAATTGAAGTCAAATTATTAATGTAAAAATCGTTAAATTAAAATAACAATTTACTGATTTTTACTATTTTGCAAAATACAGGGTGTTCTATAAATAAACGGTAAAATTAATACTTATATAATAGAATATAGTTTAGGTCGTCAATGCCGTATAAGCTATTTCATTTATGACATACCATGACGTCACTTTTACTTTTCCTCCCTAGGGAGTAAAAGTACTTTTCCTCCCTAGGGAAGAAAAGTATGACTTTGCTCCCTGCAATGAGGTCAGGAAATGTATATTTTGGATAGAGGTAGGCGGAAAAATTATTTTCTACACACACATGGATATTAGCTTATCTACGCACAGACTACAAAACGAAAAAGTATGCTATTGCGTTCAACTGAACGAATTCATTTCATATCCATTCTAGGTAGTGAGAACATTGCAAAAAAATGAAATCCACCAATTACAGTTCATATTTTTGGTTGCCTGGCTACTATTATATTTTAAATTTTATAGTGACAATTCTGTCAAACTAATTGTCAGTATTTTTTTTAGTTATTGAGATTAAATATACGTAAAATGAGTTATTCTCGTGTATAATCGATAAATAATAGCATTTCTATTTTTATTTCGTCCACATTTACAAATAAATTATAAATTTTAATCAAACCATATGAAATAATCATTAATAGGAGTATTAAAATTAAATTGTAGCGATAGAGGTGAGAACAGGGCGTTTGGCTTCTATGCGGGAGGCCTGGGTTCAAATCTGGGTTGGGGACTAATTAAATTAAATCTAGTCTTTTTCCTACGACCACTTAGGAAAATGACACATATCGCACTATTTAGTCTTACGGGAAGTGCCATATATCGTACGCGTGTGGATAAAACTCTACTTTCCACTCGAGTGGGGTTCAACAAAAAAATAACAGTAGCAACTCTTTATCTAACATTAAAACTCTATAAAAAACAAATTTTCTTTTCTAATAAGTTAAATTTAATGTCTAATTATTGTTGTTTGTAAGTCAGGATCTATGACTGAAAGATTTTATTTTATAGAAACTTAATAAAATAAACTACACTCCGTAATATGTGTTGTGACTAGTTTACAATAAATACATTATTTTACTTACATTTATAGAAGCTTTAAAAAGACATTGAATTGATTTCTCCTTGTTTATCGGAATGTCAAGCCACATTTCGTTAGGGTCGGGGTTGTATCGACAATGTCTTCACCTTGAGCTCTCTGATACATCTGCACATCAGGCTTCGAAAAAGAAAGCTTTTTGCTATATTTGTTGATTTTAAAAGGGCTTTCGACTCAATTAATCACCTTTTACTGTGGTCGAAACTATTTCTTTGGAGTATCTTCTAGAATTCTTCATGTAATTAAAAATTTATACAGTTCGAGTTAAAGGCAATAATGCTATTACTAAAATATTTGATATAAATACGGGTGTCCTACAAGGCGAGCCTATGAGTCCACTACTTTTTGCATTATTTATAGCAGCCATAGAATCTTTTTTTCTACGAAAAGGGTGCTTAAGGCGTTAACATTGACGATAGAAATGATATTTTGGCATTACTTTACGCTGATAATCTAGTTCTGTTTGCACATTCCAAGGTAGGTGTACCCAAAAAACTTACAGCAATACACTTCATTGAATTATTTAACAGTTAATACCTCCAAAACAAAAATTATTCAATTTTCTGAAGGTGGGTTCCAGAAGCCAAAAAATATTCGTTTTATTTTAATGAGTTGATTCCAGTTTCTAATGAATATGTTTACCTAGGAGTAACGTTTACATCTTCCTCCCTTTTTAATCAGATGGCCATTAATACGTCAAATAAAGTAAAGCAAGAATTGATACATGGCTTCCTAGAATTAAGCTTTTTTGAGTCTTTGGCCCTTAGTGTAATGTTTAATATCGTTGCAGCATGGGGCTTAAGATACATGAAGCTGCTTGAGAGAGTTCAGTTAAACTTTTTGAAAAGGATACTTTTACTACCAACGAATACTCCTGATTGCATAGTCAGATTAGAGGCAGGTAGAGTAAAGTTATCCTGTATCTTTAAATTCGCTCTGAACTGGTGTGACAGGCTTCTGGTTCACCTACAGTAAATCAGTGAGTCTGTGTGGCGCTATGAAGGTGATTCCCGAATAGGGGTTGCTCAGGCGCCAGTTTTGGTATCGCAGTTTGCTCTCCGACCCTGTGGTACACCAGAGTGTACTCAAGGGGAACTCAGTGGAGGTAAAAATAATTCCAGGCGGTCACTGCTAGGTAGCCACTATACTAGAATAAATAAAAATAAAACACTTATCTCCTTTACACCTCGTACCCTACGGTACCCCTGAAAGAGAACGGTTAAGAACCAGCAGTAAGAGAAACACAGGAAGATTTAATAAAATATACAGGGTGTTTCAAAATTCATGGGACAAATTTCAGGAGGTGATTGCTCGTATGAAATTAAGATGGGTG